CCTTCCAGATGAAGCTGGGGCTGTGAGGGCTGAGGCAAGCCACCGCAGCTGCAAGGGCCAAGCCCCTTGAACAAATTTCATGCATCGGGACTCTAGTATTTTATAAATCTAAAAGAAATATAGACAAGAGACAAAAATAGGCAAGTTATAATTTAGAAGCACACATGCCCAATAAATGAATACTAGTATATTCAACCTCACTTTTTTTAAAATAATTGCAATTGAAAATAAGGAAATATATGGTGATGGAAGATGATTTGACTTTGAGTGGTTGGGACACAATACCATATACAGATCATGTATCATAATAATGTACACTTAAAGCCTATATAATCTTAACCAATTTCACCCCAATATATTTAATGAAAAAAAAATAACAATGGGATAGATTTTTAACCTATCATTTTGTCAAAATTTAAAAAGCAGAAAAATCTAATGTTTGTGACTATGTGCAGAAGTGAGCAATCTCACATACTTCTGTTAGTGTGAATTGATTCTTGAAGAAAACATATAGCAAAAGTCTTGGAAACATGTCTTTTTCATTGAACAGTTCCTCTTCTAAAAATGTATTGTAAGGAAGAAAAAAGTGTATGGAGATTTTTACAAGTATGTATAATATAAAATTTTTAATAGGAAAATATTTAAAATTACCAATCTTTGATAAAAATTATTAAATAAATTAAGGAATAGTATTATTATATATTATCTTAGCTTTATTATTATTAGGTATATAATTATTATTTTTAGATATATTATTAAGATATATTATCTTAGCTATTTTGACTACTTACATGTTTATTGTCATGGAAACATATCTATGGCATTATATAATAAAAATGTTGTATTATGTGAGTATGTATAGTATATTATTAATTATAAATAAATATTTAAAATACACATGTGCATTATTTATAATTATAAATAATGAAAAAGGATATACATTGAAATGTTGACAGTGACTTTTCTGTATGTGGTGAGATTATTTGTAAGCTTAATTTTGTCAATCTATATTCTTCCATACAAAATAATTTTTGTTGTTGTTAATCCTCACCCGAGGATATTTCTCCATTGATTTTTAGGGAGAGTGGAAGAGAGGAGGAAAGGCAGAAACATTGATGTGACAGAAACACATTGATTGGTTGCCTCCTGCATGAGCCCTGACCAGGGCCCAGGCCAGGGAGGAGCCTGCAACCAAGGTACGTGTCTTTGACCATAATCAAACTTGGGACCTGTTGGTCTGCAGGCAATGCTCTATCCACTGAGCAAAACTGGCTAGGGCCAAAACAATATTTTAAAGAAAAATTTTATTCTAGAAAAAAAAATTATTTTTTACATTTTATTTTTTTAGATAGGTACTAACTATCATGGTTACAATTCAGCAATTTGTATAATGTATATCTTTTTTTAAAAAAAATATATTTCTTTATTTATTTCAGAGAGGAAGGGAGGAGAGAGAGATAGAAACATCAATGATGAGAGAGAATCATTGATTGGCTGCCTCCTGCACACCCCCTACTGGGGATCGAGCCTGCAACCCAGGTATGTCCCCTTGGCTGGAATCGAACCTGGGACCTTTCAGTCCACAGGCTGATGTTCTATTCACTGAGCCAAGCCGGCTAAGGCTAAAATGTATATATTTTATTAACTTTTGTTGTACCTATATAATAATTATAGCTTTTACAAAATAAGAGCTGATTTCCTTCTTTTTTATTGCTGAATAGTATTCTATTGTATAAATGTATCATAGCCTTTTATATCAACTCATCTACTGATGGGCACTTGGGCTGCTTCCAAATTTTGACTATTGTTGAATAATGCTGCAATGAACATAGGGGTGCATATATTTTTGAGTTAATGTTTTAGGTTTCTTTGAATATATTCCAAGAAGTGGAATTGCTGGGTCATGAGGCAGTTCCTTTTTTAATTTTTTGAGGTAACTCCATACCACTTTCCACAGTGGCTGTGCCAATCTGCATTCCCAACAACAGTGCAGTAGGGTTCCACATCCTTACCAACACTTGTTTGTTGATCTATTAATGGTAGCCTTCTGAAACCTGTATAATTTTATTAACCAATGTCACCACAATAAATTCAATAAGAAATAAGAGCACTAAAAATTCCTGGATATAAAAATAGCCCTAAAATGGAAGAAGATTTTCATAGTTTAAATGAAACTGAGGACCTATTAAACTATGGATTATATCAGTGATTTAACTTAGGTTCCTTCAACTCAGTAAAAATAAAATTGAGAGGTAATATGGGCATGAATATATGCATATTTTTGAAAGTTGCAATATTGGCAGGAAAATGTCACAGAAGTAACACTTGATAAATGGTTACTTTTTCAAATAGGAAGCTGAAAAAGCTAAGCATCAACTAAAGTATTTCCTAAATCAAGGGGAGTTACTTAAAAGTGACAGGAAAACCAAGACAACAATGGAAAAGAGTACAAGTGACACAGAAGTTAAAGTTGTGGATTCAACATCTCTACCATTGGAGAGAGAAACAAGAAAAATACAAATTGCAGATTCAAATGGACAAAAGACAAATGCTAAAATCCAAGATTATCCACAGGTAAAGAAATACTCAAAATAAAGATAGTAATATGTGCTGTTAAAATTCAATCTTATTATTTGCATTATTTAATTATATTTTTAAAAATTCTCTATGCCTTTTCTTTGCTTGGATTTTTTTTCTTTTATTATCTGGGTAATTGATTCATTATTATCTTTAATATAAACGTAAAAGTTAGGTATGTATTGATTTTGTGATTAATTTTTTATTGATTTTAGAGAAAGAGGAGGGGGAGAGATAGAGAGAGGGAGAGAGATACATCAATTGGTTGCCTCCCACACGTGCCCTGACCAGTCTCGAACCTGCAAACCTGGGTATGTGTCCTGACTGGATGAACCTGTGATCGTTTGGTGCATGGGACAATGCTCCAACCAACTGAGCCATACCTGACAGGGATTGTGATTAATTTTTTAGCCAGTCAAGTGTTGACATTTTATTTTCCAGATAGTTATTTCAATACAGACTAGTCATATATAAAATATTGTTTAATGCATTTATTTATTTTTAAATTGAGCTATTATTGACATTTATTAGTTTCTGGTATATAATGCAACTAGAGGCCCGGTGCACAAAAATTTGTGGGTAGGGCTGAGGGGGTTGGGGCACCGCCCCCTGTCACACTCAAGGCAGGGTCAATGGGGAGGTTGCAGCGCCACCCCTTGTCACGCACAGCAGAGGGCCAATCAGGGGGTTGGGGCGCTGCCCCCTGTCACTCACAGAGCAGGGCCCATCAGGGGGTTTGGGGCTCCGTACCCTGTCACACACAGAGCAGGGTCGATCAGGGGGTTGGGGAGCTCCCCCCTGTCATGCACAGAGCAGGGCCCATCAGGGGGTTGAGGAGC